CTGGTGACCATTTTCTACATATACAAAATTAAAATCCAGTTTTATTAAAAGTTAGAATTTTTAAATAAATACTACTGTATGTGAGTTGCTCTAACAACATAAATGTATTGCTTTCCTCCAGCTTTATACTCTGTAGCAATGGTTCTCCGATGGTGGTCCGGTGGTCACAGGTAGCTCCCAAGTGCTATCTTAGTGGCACTTTTGGCCTTTCTAAACGAATGAAGCAGTACGGAATGGCTGTCACTCTTATGACATCTGTGTTCATTCAGTTTTTACCTCTATTTTGCGATGGAGCAAAAAACTGAACTAACCAGACCCATGATAGGTCTGTGGGCAGTGGGGTATTAGCGGACATGTGCCCGTATACATCTGATTACCCCCGATCAGTCCTGTGCAGGTCAGCCAAAACAGAACTCAGTATTTTGTGACCTAGATGGATGCGGAGGTAATGGAATGTAAACAGTCTGAAAAAAACTGAAAGGCGAACCTGATTGGAACGCCATGTGAAAGAGGTATTTGAGTCTTGCTGCACCTGAAACAGCAGTGAACTTTAGGTGAATCACTAGTTTTTGGGACCAAAATCCAAGTGCTATGAGATTTTGAAGTAAGGCTCTATGCTTTTGCCACATAAGTCTTTGGTCCCCAATAAGGTAAATATGGCATACCAGGTTTAGGAGTTAGGTTAAGGGTTAATGTTAGAGTTTGGGGCTAGAGGGTTCATGTTCGCATTAGGAGGTTAGGAGTACTGTAATATCAAGTAAAGGGTTAAATTGTATCTAAACCCAAGAGCATATTTCATAAGAACTAGAATAGCTGATTTGAGTTTAGAGTTCTTTGCACAGAAAGTTACAAGGACACCGGATTTCTGGCAGATCAAAGGGTACAGCATTTTCTGTACTTAGCCAGGAAAAATGACAGCTACCACCAGGTCTAAGGAATGGTGAGCAGCAATATGTTAAAGTAGCTATACTTTGGATTCCAATATTTAGCTAATTGAAGAGGTTTTCAATAGAAACCTGAGGTTCTAACTCTTCCCTAACTAAGTTTCATTATAGCCTCTATCACCATTGGAGAGGTTACCCCTCACTTCCTGACCTGGTGACAGTGTTGTTCCTGGGGCAGGAAGTGAGGGGAAATCCCAAATGGGGACACAGATAACAATAACAAAGTGACAGAGGTTCTTACGCTACTCCAGTCTACTTTACAAAGTGATTTTAGTTTTTTTATTGTGTCCCTATTGAAGATATTGCTCCATCTTTCATTTCTACTTCCTTCCTTCTTACTAGTTTCCATGACTGCTGTATTCAGGTTAGCTTGTGGAACTATTTTTTTGCACATTGTAGTTCTGAGATGCTAAATAACAATAGAGCTTCTTATACCTTCAAGCTTCTAAAATGTATCAAATGAAGCCATAGAAAACTAAGATCAACACACTTGATCTTTAAGTGTTTTTGCACATCTTACATGCATGAACCCTCGTTCTTGAAGCATTTTTTTTTCTTTGCTGCGACAAGCAGCAGCACAGCCCTTAGGTGCCCGTTCACACACTATCCAGCTGTATGCACATTTTTTTTGCTATCACACCACACCGGAAGGCATGGCATTGCTGTACCTTGCGTTCTGGTGGGGGTGACTGCACTGCAAGCTGGAGGCGTGTCTTCGGTGCCATTGACATGAATGACACCACCACGCCCCCTCCCACCCCAGAACACGGGAGGCTTGGTTTATGTGATCCAGTGCATTCAGGGTATGGAACGCACTGGGCAGTGTGTGAATGGGCCCTCAGGTTTAAACTGCCCCTATAAGATACAGTGGGAATCCTCATGTTGAGTATTGATACACTTCTAGAAAAGGCCAAAACAGGCCTTAAAAGAGTCATAGCATGACAGCACATCCTTTCCTGTTATAACATCAGCATTGTAATAGGAATACATAGTAGAGTGGTGTCTGATAATGCAATCAAAGCTTACATGAAAAAATCCCTTTTATGTAGTTAGTGCTGCCTTCCGTCTGCCCATCACTTTTAATTACTTCCTGGATTCCCAGTGTGCTTTGTGTCTCTTTCCTGCTGATTGATGTGATACAGTCTCGATTTTTAAGGACTATCTATCCCATCATGCATTGCTTCCAGCAAGCAATGATGATGTTACATTGTGGGAAGTTCAGAGTTCTAGTTAAGACAGCAGCTTAGTTAGAGTTGTGACAAAAAGGAAGTGAAATTGTGGCAGTGATTGAGGAACGACATCCTGTGGGCATCTGCATTAAGTAAGTTTATAAACTTCTGGATGAATATGGTTATTAGGAGTGGGATGGAATTGAAAGAAATTCAATATAGAGATACATATTTATTTTGAGTTTCTGACCAGAGATACCCTTTAAACATGCAGCTTCCAAAATATGCTAAAGCCATCATCCCTGGAAGAACCAATTAAAGCAGCCCTTCTACTCTCCTTTAAAGTGCATCATTTTTCCTATACGGGTCACATTTTAATAATCAGTATCAGATGCTTTATATAGTGCTAAATTCTGTTTAGCCATGTTGGGGTTAATCTAGTTAGCGGTTTCTGTTTCCAAGATATAAGGTTGTAAAAACCGAAATTCATTTTGCCCAGCTTCCTCTTTTTGAAGTTGGTGCTATCAGCGTACTACCTTATTCTCATAAAGAGATGTCTGTTTATTCAATATTATTAACTCCTGGGATTCTTTATTGCTTTAGTCCCAGCCCTTCGGGTCACGGTACGATGGCAACGCAAGCTTAGAGACAGCTCCAGCGTCAGATGCTGCAGGTGTCAGCGTAGGGTGCATGCTGTTTCAGGAAATCACATGTATGTCACATCCTGCCACAAATATCGTCTGTCTGGGAGATCCCTTATGTCAAAGATGCAGCTCAGTATTGTTTTCAGAACAGTGAGAGGTGGAGGCGCAGGAGATATACAGTAAGTATACAAGTCTCAGGAGACATAGGTTAAGTATATAACACAGATAATGTAGAATTAGCTCTTCTATCAAGGTTATCTAATAAAGTGAAGAGCTTTGTACAAAATGCCGCATGCTTAACTTGTTTGCTGTCAGTGATTTAGACAGTACTGAAGCCAGAGGATCAATAAGAAAGGCAGGCAACAAGCATTTTCAAGAGGAAGGGTCTACAGGGGCAGATTTGTGTATTTCTCTCAGGTTTTCTGAAGACTTTTATACAAATGCAACAAAGATTTACCATTTTTTTTTGCAGCAATTTGGAAGTGTATAGAAAACAAACATTTATTTTAAGGAGAATTAAAAATGTTGTAACGTTAGTCTTAAGCTGGCCATCGACGGGCAGGGTGATATCTGCTGGTAGTTATGTCACTTTTGAGTGTTCCAGCAGCAGCGCCCTTTCCAATACTTGTAGCAAAAACATGGCACATTTGAATATGCATTCATGGAAAAATTAAGGATCAAAGATTAGTTGGAAGTACATTTTCAAATTTTCTTTAACCTATATTTAACAAGAACATAATATACCTACCTTATGTACTGATAGCTGGCACCTTCTGATGACTGCAGACCACAGTGGCTGACCTCAAAGAGCCACTCCAGGGCTCTTGAAGCCTCCTGATCTGTGCAAGCTCTTCTCTAGGCTCCCAAAGAGTAGTGAAGTCATTTTAAAGGTAGTTTTTCATATATGTGTATATATATATATAATTTTATTTTTTTAAATTACATTTGGGATGTGTCATGTGACTTTTCAGAAAGCAATAGAGCTTAGTGCATTTCATGTGATTTGGTGATTTCCATTTATTTTAATTATGTAGTGTGACTAACCATACTTTCTTTGGCCTACTTTGCATTTCACTGGTTGCAACAGGTCCTTATGAGACCCCTACTGCATTTGGCTTTTGAGTGCATATATATGAGTTGAGCTGCGTTTAAATGCAAAACACAGCATTTATAAACGAACACTGTCTTCACAAGTCTTATTTGCACTAGTTTCTATGTCTAGGGTTAAAATATGTGATATTTTTTTTTAAATCCCAGCTCCAGCCAAAATATTTCTTCTAGCTTTGGGTAGAATTGTGAAGTGCTAGAACCTCTCTCGGTTTAATACACTTTGTTGGATCTCTGATGAGGAGTAGTGATGCAAAAGCAGGCAGGATTAGACTTTTGCTTTCTGGCTCTTTTAATTGATCGGCTCCACAGTCATTGATTTGATGGCTAACGGTAGCATCCACTACAAGGTGCTTTCACACTGTTGTTAAGTTTGAATGCTTTAGGCCAGGTCAGGTTCTCTTTAGAGTTGAAAACTCTTGATACTAAAAGACAGTCTAAAATATTATAATAGCAAGAGACAATGCAAACAGTTCTTTGTTTGGCTTTGCAAGATTAAGCCAAAGGAACTAAGGAAGTTTCCCTGTTGATCCTATGGCATATTTCACATATCATATAAGTATATAAGTGTCAAGATTGTATCTGTAAGCAGCCTACTGAGCTGTTAACAGGATGCACAAGCTGTGATATTGGGAACAATTTCTGAACTGGAGCCATAAGGTAAACTGTGTGCTGGGATAAAAGTATTGATGACCTTGTGTATTCATGCCAAAGAGAACAAATGACAAGCCAATAGTACACCAAGATATGGAGTCAAAACATGAAATGTGCTCTGAAGACGAGTAAGTGAAGAAGCCAAATATTGAACTCACACTGAGCGGTCATTGCATCTTATAATTAAAAGTAGTTGTAATTTAGAGATAATATTTGGAGAAAATAGCAAAACATACCTGGGATATAACCTGCTGTGATTTCTAATATCTCCTAGCTGCTATGAGATCAGGCTATCATATGCATGCACCGCTGGAGTGAGCCCTGAGGGAGAATCTTGGAACCAATCTACAATCCTGGAGAGGAGAGCAGCTCGGTGATACAGCTCGAAATCGGGGAGGCCTACTCCCCCTTGGGATTTGTGTCTACACAGAGTGTTATGCCGTATACGGGAATATCCTTTCTGCCATACAAAACTGTTCACCATGGTGCGAAGAGAACTGAAGAACCGCCGTGGCGGTCTTATGGGGATCGTCTGGAAGACATATAGTAACTTCAGCAAGGTCTCCATCTTCAGAACGTCAAGCTTGCCAAACCATGAGATCTTCATATTCTGGTACGTCTCAAAGGTTCGACATAGGGAGCTAAGGAAAGGCTGATAATTTAGGTGGTATAGAGTGACGAGCTAAAGCACGTCTTACCGCTCCATGCGCCTGGCCACGCCCCTCCATATGCAACTTTAAAGAGGTCAGTCAACCCAAAAATGATAATTCAGTGTATTTGCAAATTTGAACTATTTGCGTAATTGATAAGTTTCTTTAGATCATCAGAACTCTACAGGAAAGGTCTTTACACTGTTGTTACTGGCTTTGAATCCTCTCAGCATAATACTAATACTATATTATCCATTATATAAAAAAAGAAAAATATTCTATCCAAGATATTATAATGGCTGCAGGAAGAGTCGTGAACTTAAATGCAGTATGTTTGGTGTCTGACTTTTAAACATAGGCTGCTAGGTAACGCAACTTATTGGCATCCACCAAAACTGAAACATAATTTTCTTGGTCATGAGAGACAATATTACCTCAGCAAGTATATGTCAAAGAACCCTTTAAACTGGTTGTACTGGTACATTGGGACACAGCAGGTTGACCACAGTGTTCTGATTTGCTCAATCAACCCTGCTCAGGTATCATTAGCATCAAGATGTTGATTAGGTTACAGGAGGATATTTAGTCTGAGTGGGTGCATTAGATAAAAATCCGCTCCCTGATGCTGGCAGTTTTCTTTTTAACTACAAAACAAGGTGATATAAAGAATACTTACAAAAAAAAGTAGCATTTTTTTTTATTTCCTGTACTTGTTGGTTTAACTTATTAATATGCCATGAAACATTTATGTTCTGTGTCTAAAGTTCTAGTTTAAGTAAAATTATTATTAGACTCACAGTCACCAGTTTACATTGTTTCTCTGCAAATGCCATTTCCTGGTTTGAATATGGTTAGTTGCAGCGGGGCAATATTGAACACTAGTTACTTAGGATAAATTGGGCTGTTTAGGAAAAGATTAATCTTGCCTAATTGTGGAACTTTCAGGACCAGATAACTCACACCAGTACAAGATAATGCATTTATGACTTTTGTTGTTGTCATTACAGGTACCGAATCTGAACTTTTTGACATGGATACATCCAAAGTTTCAAATTTGCCATCCAGTGTTAAATTACCCACATGCACTGCTACACTTTCTGGATTCCACACGGCCAAAGCATCAACAGTAACTGACAGAACATCTGCACAGGCTGTACTTATTAAAGGAGTTGGCGTACCTTTATACCAAATTACCCAACAAGAAGGCCATAATTTACCATTTCAGCTGACATCCACTGGCACAAGCTTTGCTATCGACAATGCACATGTGTCTGTTGTATTGGCCCCACAGCCTCAAACCGTTCTTCAAAAATCGCCTGCACAGACTCTCACCCTAAACATTGTGAATCACCTAACACTAATGTCTCAGAATTGCTCCTCCGCCATCCTTGGCACAAGCCCAGCTAAATCAAAAAACATTGGGAAACACATATGTGCCCATTGTGGCAGAGACTGCCTAAAACCAAGTGTTTTAGAGAAGCATATTCGTTCGCATACTGGTGAAAGACCTTTCCCATGCACTATTTGCGGCATCTCATTTAAAACCCAGAGCAATCTTTACAAACACCGAAGGACACAAACTCATGTCAATAACGCCAAACAGAGCTTTGATTCTGATTGTGCTGGATGTCAGGAAGACCAAAACACAGGACTGGCTGGAGAAAGACATTGCTTAGATATCAGTAAGGCAGTTAATGATATCTGTATAAGCAAAGACCAGTGTAATGATATTATTAGTGTTGACAGTAGGACCCTGTTCTATGAAAATAATGGTTTACCATGTTTAGTGAACAAAGACATTTTATCATCTGTTCGGAACTATGATCAGGTAGTTGGTGAACCTGACTGTGCATCACCGTCTAAAGACTCAATGTCTATACTAAGTCAAAAGAGATCCCTGAAGGACCAAATAACTACAATGACAAACAGACATGCTCAATTACAAAGGCAGAGTGGAACATGTGCTGATAAGCCGTTGGACTGCTCTTCATCTCAAAGGAAGCTAAAAAAATGTGAAAGCACAGACTCCGGTTATTTGTCCCACTCAGACAGTGCAGATTTGCAAATGTTTTCTAGCAGTCCTCTGCACAGCCTTAGTGAGTGCAGTTTTGAGTCTGAGCCCTTACTCAATACTACTCGGGACTGTGAAGATAAAACAACATCATCAAAGAAAAACCTAGAAGATCATATTTCCATGTTGATCTCCCAAAATAAAGCTGTGGTTGATAACACCCACCTAGACAATGTTCGACCTAGAAAAACAACTCTGTCAAAGCAAGGCAGTATTGATCTCCCAATGCCATATACCTTTAAGGACTCTTTCCATTTTGACATAAAATCCCTAGATGTAAACAGAAAGAAAATTTCTCTTTGTTCAGTCAACGCTACCATCACTCCACAGGAGAAGAATAAGGCTATGTTTTTCCACTCCGTGCCTACTCAGATATCTTCATCTATTGACAATGTAATTCTGGCACGAAGCAACTCTTTACCATTTGTGGAAAATGGCAGAGTTCAAGACAGCTTTTCTGTACGTAGTACTAAAGCACACCTCCAAGGAAAACAGCCAGTAAATGTCACCTTTGCCAATTTACTACTCTCTAATACAGCTACAGCTTGCACAGTAGACTTTTCAAGCAGTCACCCTCGAGGTCTTGTCAGGCAGGCTGCTGTAGATGAGGTGCAAACAAACAATGTTTCTGAAAGTCATATTTCTGAAGAAAGTAAGGAAGTGAAAAGGCTTGAAGGCGAACAAATTACCCCAAAATTTAAAGCGGCAAATAGAAAAGCAGGCCATAAAAAAGTAAACATGTTTTCTCATGAAAAGTGGCAGATGTATGGAGATGAAACATTCAAAAAGTTTTACCAGAAAACAAATAAGAGTGAGCATCCCAAAAAGACAAAACCAGAAGTTCAAGACTCAAATTGTGAAGTAAGAAGCAAAACTATTTTGCAGACTACAATGGCCAAGCCATTGGAAAGTCTTTCATCACCACCTCAGGTTGTACCACCAATTTCAGATTCAAAGTTTACGTCTACATCTTCTAAGAAATGTTTATTCAAGACAATATCAGTAATCAGTAAGGCGACAGAAGCCACCTTACCCTTGAGGAATATCCAGAAGGATTTAGATGTAGACCGGAAAAACAAAACCATTTTAAGGTCAGGGAGTGGTAATGAAGTTCCCATTGATGGCAAAGGATGTAAACTGAAAAGTCACAATCCTGATTGTGCCTCTAATGCACAAACCGATTGTCCACAATGTCATCTGCAAGGTCAGACAAGTCAGTCTGTCGACGATTCTGACAATATAGGTAATATGGTGACTGAAAAGTTATCTATTGCTTCAAATATAGAGGAAAACATGCCTGCCAATTTTATTGGAAGTTCACAAAATCATGAGCAGTCACCTTCAGAAAGAAAGAAACTTAAGGTTGCAAAGAAGAAAGGTGACTCACTTCAAGATACCAAGGAGCATTCCATAAGTAATGAAACTGCTCAGGTCAAATGTTTTCCTGAAAGGAAGGCTTTTAAAGAGTTACCAGTAAGTAAGGATTATCAGCAGAATATGACTATGAATTTCAGAAGAGATCCTGATATCCTTGCAACAGAGTCCTTAGACAGAGTTAGCAGGTGGGATCCTAAACCTTCCTGCATTCTTACTGAAGGAAGCCTTCAAACTCTCAGTAAAGATTTTGAAAATAGAACAGAACCTTTCTCAGCACATTCTTCACCTTCATCGGTTCAATTAACATCAACACAGAAAGAACATTTATTTTCTCCAAGGTATCTCATAAAATTTCATTATATTGGAGCATCTAGTGCATTGCAAACAGATCAAGATCAGGTTTGTCATCTGCCCAGTGGAGAAGCATTTAGCCTTGCCAGATGCTCAGACTTAAAACCATCTTATCAACACAACACAGGTAACCAAGGGAAGCCGATAGAAAAACATGATTCTGTAATTGTCCCGTTTAGCAAAATAACGCTCAACACAGAGTGTGTATCCACTGTTGCTGCTACAATATCTGTTCATGTCACTCAAAATGTCATTTTAGATTCTAAGGGAAAGACAGAGCAAAAAATGAATTTCGATGATGCGCACCTAACCGGAGAAAACAAAATTGAAGAACTTAGAGTTTTGACTGAATTGGAAACCTCCCCAAATAAAGAATGTATTTCTTCTGAACTCCATTGCAGAGATAATTCCATGCAAAAGAAAACAGAAAGCAATGCCATTATATATAGCTGCACGTCACCTGGAACAACATCACAAGGACCTTCTGAGTACAAAATGGCCAGCACAATAGCCAAGTCCTCTCAGGCTACAGAACTGGAGACTACCAATGGTTTTCAGGCAGAGCTCTTCAACAGCACCCCAGTTAAGTCTATATTACCTCAAGAGCAGGGAAGCTCTCCATATAACACAGCACATCTATGTTGGCACTCAGGGATCTGCAACATGAGGGTCACCAAGGTCACCTTCTCAACCTTAAACACTGAACCTAAGTCAACTTGGTGTTGGTTGGACAAATGTCTTCCCCTTCCAATAGAACAAAAGGAGAAGTCATTTTCGGTTTATGCTTCTCTGAACTGTAATTCCATAAAGGACAAAAGGCCAGTTCAGGCTCCACTTTCTCATTCCAGAAGTGTTGACAAGTACCAGGCAACATCTGCTGGGCAACTTATGGCATCCTCCATTGTTTGGAAGTCATCGAAACAAAAGGTATTTGTTTTATATGTGCCTCGATAACAATAGAAAGACATTATCCTTCGTGTATTGGGAGCCTCTTTTTTTCTGTTTGCTGTTTTAGTGCAGGGGCAGGCTACCAATGACCTCTGCTCAAGGTCACCTGATGCATCTACAAGCACAGGAATAATGGGGCTCATTTATCAAAGTGTCTGTGATAAAAACTGTCTGTGTTGCCCACAGCCACTAATTAGTTATCCAAATCCTTTTTTTATGTTAAAGTTTAAATATGTTTCAATATAGAATATTGTTGTACTAATTAGGGATGCACCGATTCCAAGTACCGTACTCGGTACAAGTACAAGTACAGATACTTTTCCAGCTCCAAGACTAGATTAGAGAAAAATTTAAAAGTTAGGAGGCAGCTGCCATTTGTAAGGAGCACACGGAGCTCCTAGGATTTGTACATCTCTATTTTAATGTATGATTTTGTTTTTATAAATATAAATAAAGGGATGCACCGATACCATTTTTGCAAGTACAAGTACTGAAGTCCTCACAGATACAAGTACTGATACATTTTTGTTTATTGTCATGTGACAGTTTTTCTAAAACAATACAGACTAATGATTTCAGGAGAGTGGTGGAGCACCAGAGCCAGGTCCCAGCTGCAACCGCTGCAACCCTGGTAGTTGTCATACCAGGGTTGCAGCAGGTAGGAGAACTACCAGCTGCAACCAGTATCGGCACTGGTATCTAAACTGGTATCAGTGCATCCCTAGTACTAATTTATCACTGTCAAAGCCAGTCTGTGTGGACCATAGCCAAATCTTTTCCCTTTAATTCTCCCAATTTAACTAAATAGAAGGGAGAGTCTGTTTTTTATGATCCGCATAGACTTTTATTTTGCGATCATTTAATCTCTTTTATTATTATTTACACATACATCGTCTTACAACAAACAATAACAAAGAAACAAAAAACAAAGAAAACAAAAACACAGCAGTACACACATATTATAAATACATAATATATACTCAATACATTATTCATATCCACATGCTAAAATATTATCCTATATCGTCCGTAGTGGATCTGAGCTACCCGCTCTGCTCCCACCAAATATCCCCATACTGACCTAAGCTCTTAGATGTATACAGTATACTACCTTTATCCCCTTCTCCAGATAAAATGTGAAATCAAGGATTCTGGATCCAGCCCTGAATTAGATATCCAAACATTCCATATTTGAAAGAACTTCTGGAGGCTACCCCTATGCTGATGCATCACCGCATAGCCTTTTTAGACCATTTTCCCTTCATTATGACTTATAAAGCTTGGTGGGATTACAAGAGCAGTTCCTTTCTCACATCCTGAAGCAGAATGTACATACATGCAAAAGATGTTTCGTGCGCCTGTAAGAAGTTGCTCTAGGACTAGTCAGGGCCGGATTTACTCTCAGTACTGCCCCAAGGCCAGGTTCCTCAATGCGCCCCCCTTCCCGCCAACCCCACCCCCATGGAGAATGGCAGACCTGCAGGCTGCATACAAGTGATCTCGGCGACATCGACAAGATCACGTGTACAAAACAAGCGGCAACTTCCCTGTACATTTAGCTCTGCAAGCACAAAGCAGGGCTAAATATAGAAAAAACTACCCGCCCGGCACCGGAAACTGCATGTCCTGGGCATTTGGAGATAGGAATTCCACACCCCTGCTGCCCCTCCACTCCCTGATGCCCCAAGGCCAGGCCTTGGTTGGAAAATCCGGCCCTGTGACTAGTTCCAACATTATCTTCTTCAATATTGTTTCAGCCTACAAAATTACTACTTTCACAGAATGTGAGAAGTACATTTTAAAGATTTGTGTCTTTAGTACATCAGACATATCTAAAATAATTGTTATGGAATACCAGTAAAGGTGACTAAAACATGAATCACATTATACCTAAACTGACAGTAAAGGTTTAGAAATCAGCACCTTTGAAAATAATCTAATTTGAGCCTACATGATTTCAGATCCATTCTTTATTGATGTTTCAGCATACAGGTGAAACTCGAATAATTAGAATATCGTGCAAAGTTCATTTATTTCACTAATGCAACTTAAAAGGTGAAACTAATATATGAGATAGACTCATTACATGCAAAGCAAGATAATTCAAGCCGTGAATTGTCATAATTGTGATGATTATGGCTTGCAGCTCATGAAAACCCCAAGAACCCCAAATCCACAACCTCAAAAAAGTAGATTATTACATGCAATCAATAAAACAAGGATTGTACATAGAACAATATCGGACCTCTGAAAAGTACAAGCATGCATATGTACTCAGTACTTGGTTTGGGCCCCTTTTGCAGCACTTACTGCAATTACTTTTGCACGATATTCTAATTATTCGAGTTTCACCTGTAGTTCTGTGTGTGTCTCCTTCATGTCTGGTGCCATTAACCATAGGTGGCAAGATAATATAATGCTTCTCATGTTCCTCTTCAGTAGTTTCTAAATTCAATTATACATGCATTTCAGTTGATTTTAAACAATACCCACTCAACCTTCTCTGGTACCTTGTCAAGATCAATTTATGATCTTGTCTAGGTAAACATATGATTTCTTTAGTTCAGCTAAAGAACCAGTTAATGGTTACGTAAAAGCTAAATGCCAACTAGCAGCTGCTCTTCAACTGGAAAAGACCTAAATGCAGAGAGAGAATGATTAAAGCTTGCGTATAGATGAATCTTGAACTAGGTGATGGAAGTTAAAGCAAATCTAAACCCAAAAGCAAAAATCTAATATATTGCAGCTTATCAATTCTTAAATGTAGCTGCTGAATTAGTTTTTTCCCTTCATTTTTACCTGGTGATCCAGCCATTATGTCTGTTTAGGGCTGCAACAACTAATCAACATAATCGATTATAATCGATTATTGGAAAAGTTGTCGACTTTTAAATCATCGATTAATCGGCTTCCGATTGGTTGGCCCTGTTCTCGGCTCCACACACGCTGCGCGCCACACCACCTCACACTTGCTGCTGTCAGACCCGCCCGGCCGCATCCACACGCCGCACCTCCTCTCTGTGATCTCAATACAAACTAGTAGTCACATCACTGGAGCCATTTTTTAGCATTCATCTTATTTTTTTTAACCGATTAATCGAACTTAATAATCGGCTAACTAATCGATTTTGAAAATAATCGTTAGCTGCAGCTCTATGTCTGTTACTTTTCAACTTCCTTTAACAGACCAAACTGTCCAGCAAAAGTGGCAGATAGAGATTTGAGGCAAACCATTTAACACTGACAGGGGTGCTTACAATGGTCATCTTTTAATCATTTATGTAAAACTGTAAAATGTTGTCACAGCGCTAAAGGTTTGAGATAAATATGAAAATATGTGAATATATATGGATCAAAACATGAGTGACACCCTGTGTGTAAGTCTTCAAAAAAACCTACCAATAATGAATATAAAGTACCATAAAGGACTGAAAAAGTGCTGATGTGCACACAATCAAAAGGAAAGCTACATTCCTCAATAGGATAAGTGAATAAATGTAACAGGATATCACACTATAAAAATATTAAAACTAAGTATATCGAAGTGAACTATAAAAAATTAAATAACCATTCAATAAAATTATTTCATAAATATGTGAAGAAGTGCAAATTAGCAGTGAAAACAGTGAAGCAAATGTAACAATCAAAATTGTATTGCAAATACAAAGATGAAAAGGATGTAAAAAAATGAAAAAAACGAAAAATGAAAAAAGAAAAAACACAAGTCCTTCCAGAAATTTCAGTCAGTGATGTGAACTAACACAAACTGCACCAAACTACACCTCTCATAGCAGGTTTAGGATCATTATTTGACTTTTAGTTTACTTTCCAAAAGCGCAGATTTTTTGTTGCAATCATTTATGTAAAACTGTCAGGGAAACCCACACTCAGGAGTTTCAATAACGTTGACTGCTGAAGTCGAATTAAAAGAGTAACAGTGTTTATTGTACATGCATGCGTGGGTTTCGATTTCCCCTCCAAAACCTTTATCCTAAAAGAGAAAACTGTTGCTGTAACTATTGATTAGGTTTAAACTTACCTGTGTCTTCGCCGCACGCTCTCGTCCGAACATCTGAAGAGTCTTGGGCGGCCCCAAAGGATCTTGGGGTGGGCGCATGCGCAGTTCAGATGTTTGGCCCGGAGACGAGGAGAGACACAAGGTAAGTCTATGGAGCAGCGTGCAGCCGCACAGACTCCATGGGACATCAGAGAAGAGGAGAACAGAGGAGTCTGCGCTGGATCGGAGACCCGCACCAGTGCTGGAGGGACAGTTAGAAACTCCAGGAAAGAAGAAGATGATCGAATAAAGAGGCATCATTTAAGGTAAGTCCTTTTCACTAACATTGGTTGGGGGGGGAAAAAATAGCCTGTAATGTCACATTCATTGTTAGTCAAATGCATCTAGATCTACTAGTCCATCTAACACTAACCTCCCCACAGGGTGACAACGCAGCTGACCATTGCTGTGCAGTGTGTTGATCTGACCAGTGTGGATTTAGAAACTACTGAAGAGGAACTTGAGAAGCATTATATTATCTTGACCAGTGTGTTACTGGTCAGATCACCAGGTGAAAATAAGGGGGAAAAAAGCCTAAAATATTTAAAACTAATGCACACACCACATTTAAGGATTGGTAAGCTGCAATATATTAAATTTTTATTTTTGAGTTTCGATATTCTTTAAACTGTATAACCAGCGATTACCTTCAGTAAAGGAAGACAACAGAGTGAGTAGATGGATGACCTCATCACTCTGCAGCTGCCCCTTTAGGCTGAGGGTGGGGAGATGACACCACTCTACTCCTAAGGCTAGGTTCACACCTAGGCGACTACAAATCGTGCACGATTCCGCGTGGGTTGCCGCGTGGTCAGGAATCGCCAAGGTGTGAACCGATCGCGCTGTGGGTGCCATTACTTTCGAATGGCACCCCAGTGGCGTCAGGCAGGTCACGCAGTTTCCCGCCGCGATTCCACCCGTGCTTCCGAACACGCTAAAACAGCCGCGCGTCATGTATCGCAAAAAAAAAAGGTACATGTACCTTTTGTTCTGCGATTGCCGCGTGGATGTCACCCCATTGAAATCAATGGGGCCACACAGCAATCACTGCGTGCATTGCACAGGACCGCACGACACCCGGGACGCGCGTCCTGGGTGTCGTGCGGTGTATTGCAGGTGTGAACCTAGCCTAAAACATACCAGGGAAAGTTGTGTCGATCCCCTTGTTGCACTCTGTGGCAGATCTGTGTAAAACCTACCGTAGCAATGAAAACAGGAATGCAAAAAAAAAAGTAGAACAGCTTTTTTATATGTATTTCTGGGTATTTAGATGTTTGTCTGGAGTTCAGCTCCCGATCATTTGAGCCAGCTTGTTCTTAGAACAGTCTCTGGAGCCACTCTCCCTCTCCACTGCTGCAGTTTAAAAATCCTTGTGTCATCAGGTTCTACATAAGGGTATAAATGTGAGGAAGCTGAGGAACATTCCATCTGTGAAGTGGAGTACAAGAGAGGCTTCATGGACCAGTGAAGCAGGGAGTCAGCTAGGCAGTTCGGGTGAGTATAACTTTTTATTTTTTTAGCACCTAGACAAAAACGAGCAGTTAATCCTTGCAGTGCGGGGGTTCTCCACTACAAGGGTTAATATAAGTTTCCCCCGGAGTTCTTCTTTAATGGTACAGGAGGGGAGGTAAACATCATTACTTGCGGTAGTGATATTAGAAAAAGCAACCCAGTATCTTAATATATTGCTTTATTCATCCTTACAGGACTGTTCAGAAGGAATAAAACAATCAAATGAAAACAACCAGCAATCAGCCAAGAGATCGAGCAGGATGGGAGCACGGACAAAATCAAGGCACATGAAAGGGTACAACGCCTGCTACTTACGTGCATTTCTGTCCCCTTTATTTATAACCAGGAACAAAAGTTTTTTTAGAAAAAAGAAAAATCTTCTATAGGTCAATTATATAGACTGCAAGGATTTGAGCAAACTTCATTGCAGGTATTTAAATTTTTCCTTTTTGGTTCAGACACTTAGCAAAACTAAAGAGTTTTATTTGGAGGATCTGCCTGTTTCTCCAGCATCCCAAGCCAGTACATTGGGCTTCAAAGGAAACATTATGCCAGCTGTAATTATATCATGCAGATCACATTTAACCATCCCTGATCAGGTGATAAGCCAAGACCTGCCTCAAAAGTAAAAGCAAGCCTTTCTGCCTCCAGGAAAAGTGATGTCCTTTGGTCTTCCTGCACATCTGTAGATTGCAATTTAAAAACTTTAACAACTCATAACTCCCATACCTTAAATTACACAGGTATAATAGTAAATTAATAGATTGGTTCCATGTCCTGTAAACATAGATAAATGACACGGTAGAGTAACACAACTACTAAGCAAAGCTATATCTGTACAGTTATGTGGGTTTAAAGCATTTTTGTTACCGTGCCAAGGGAAATTAGCATGAAACTGATGTTCAATCACATTTGGTCGGTGACAGTCTCAGATAAGGGCCAGCAACTTTACTTGAATCCTTAGCAGTATATAGTTTGATGACTGACATTTAATAATTAGCCATACTCTTGAGATCCCTTTTGCTGTCTGGGGATACACTCCAATTTTCTTTTCCTGGCCCATGGAGCAGAGGAGTGAGCAGAGAAGTACCAAGGTAATCGTTCAGTATTTTTAATCCTTATTTAAACAGCTTTTTTGCTTGCACTGTATATATCTCTTTTTGTAACAAGTGTGGGATTGCTCTGAAGTACAATCTGAAGATGCATTGGGGTTGATTTACTAAAGGCAAATAGGTTGTTCACTTTGCAAGGGAATTAGCACTCAGCAGGGGAGGTTTCCCCTAAGTTTAGTGAATATAGGGACGCTTTATTGACTTCTATCAACCAATCATGTTCAAGGAAAAATGCATTTAAATTTTTTTTTCCTTGCACATGATTGGGTATTCTTTACAAAGTGAAGTTTCACCACATTCACTAAGCTAAGGGAAACTTTCTCTGCAAAGTGCAAATTCCCTTGCAAAGTGAACAGCCTTTAGTAAACCCACCCCATAGTGTTGTATGTGTCTGCACTAACCCTGGGAGGTGAAAGTGTCTGATTTAGCTAATCATTTAGGCTCTAGAGGAAGCAGCATGTCTGTCAGCAAAAACTTGTATACCAGCCTGTTATTTGCTGGAGAGGAAGTTTTCAGAGTAGAATTTTCAAAAGTGTGGGTTTCCCACAAGCATATACTATGAGAGCAGTGGCGGCTTGTGTATGTGTGTGCATGTTTTCCCATGTCCTCACTGCCTCACAGCAATACTCTTTGCTACATGGTTATATTGAAAAAAGCACCATTATGTTTAACTTATAAAAATTGCAAACCTGCCCACACAGAACCCTAAGTGCACAGATGAAGGTGAAAAACCTCCAAGAAAGCATGATCCAGTTTGCTCCTTCCTGACCCCCAAGGCAATTGGTCATTCCCTGGATTAACAAGCTATAGTGTTATTACGTAGAAACAATAATAGCAGTTATGGTCTGTGTACTGCCAAGCCAAAACTTTTTTTGGATAGAGTGGGGAAGGATTAGAACCAGTGGCGGACCAAAGGAACAAAGGGCCCTGGTACAAGATTTTATCTTGGGCAGGAGCGGATCTCACTGGCCCCCCAACCCCCCTGACGATCTCTGCCCCGGAGGAGCTTACACTCTAATGTCCCTCCACAGTGACACACTATTATTATTATACATTTATATAGCTCTGACATATATTGCAGTGCTGTACTGAGAACACTGAGCCAGTCACATTAGTTTCTGTATGCAGGAGCTTATACTCTAATGTAGAATGGCACCGGCTGTAGGGGGACTACAAATCCCAGTAAGACAATATACAGCAATGCAGAACAGTATATGAATTGTAGTCTGGATTTAGTAACGCATTGGACTCTGGACTTCGTAACACACTGAACTTTGGACTTCGTAACGCACTGGACTCTGGACCAACCTGAGACCCCACAGAGCACAGGTGAGACCACGCACAGCACACTTGAGATCCTGCAGGGCCCACCTAAAACCCTGCACATACCAGAGACCCCACACAGCCCACTTGAGAGTGACCCGGCAGAGCCCACCGGAGACCCCTCAGAGCCCTTCTGAAACCCTGCAGAGCCCACTTGAGATCCCACACATACCAGGGGCAGAGGGGGCCTGGGACAGAGGGGGCCTCATGTCTGGGCCCCCTTTGCCCCGGGCATGGCGGTTAGTTACGCACTGTCCATGAGCAATTGCCTCTCTGCCGGCCCGGCCCAGCCTCCCCTGCTAGTGGGCCCCCCAGCCTTGGGCCCTGTGTTCCGCCCCTGATTAGAACCCCTGTCTGGTTTTTACTGATGTCCAGGGGTCCATTAGAGAAATTTCCCCATTACTTCCTGTTGAGCCGACATTCTTTTACCAGACAGGAAGTGGGGAGAACAATTCAACATCAATGCATACATAAACAAAAATGACTTTGTTTTAATGGAGTAGGGGGAAGGACAGAACCCTGTAAGAGTTGTATTTCTGTGTTTCTATTGTAGAGTTTCCCCCACTTCCTATCTGGAAAACATTGCCTGCAGGACAGGAAGTGAGGGTAAATTTCTCCAGCAATGTTCTGCAGTAAAAACTAGATAGGTATTCTATATGAAGTTGTCTCTACACTGTAGACTTTACAGGGGTTAGAGTTGTCATCAACTGCAACCACTCCAACCCTTAATGATACAGCACTGTATTATCTTCTCATGTTCTTAATTTGCCTCAACAAACTAATGGTGCCCCCTTCAGCCTCCAGTCCCCATAGTAGCCGTCTGGACTGCTACGGCTATAGTTCCGCCACTGCCTATCATGCATCTGCCTCTGGGAATCATGCATGTTGCTGTCAAACTCTTGCAATGCCTAATGGGATTTGTAGTTGCACTACAGCTGGATGGGCCAGAGTTTGCCAACTACTGGTGTAGACCATCTAATCTATAAATGTACACATGGTGATCATATCCCACTTATTGGGGTGGGGGGTATTTTTTAATAATTGCAATTTTAACCTTTTGTCCATCATCCTCCCCTGTCTGTGATAAATTACATGGTGGATTACATGTGCCCACAACACTGCCAAACACACATATGGACTTGTGATGGAAATAATTAAACAAATATTTTAGTGGAAAGCAAAGTGGGAGCATCTCTGCCAAAGTCCTTACCCAAGCTAAGACAGCATGGCCTGTGGGTAAGCATCACGCCTGTCTGTTGTTGGCAGTGAGATCAGTGCGGTAATATCACATACGGGTGTTTGTGCTTCCTGTGTCTCATGTAATGTCTGGGACAGGAAATTATCTGCAGGTGAAGCATAATAAAGCTCCCAAATGCATTCACACAAACTGGTTCCTTATTTGACTGTCTCCCGCAGCTGATTGTGATTTATATGGATGGCTCATCACTGTCTCCTCTACCGTAATTCATGATCACATTGATGGATTTAGAAAGATGACCTCAGGCTGTAGAAATCTCTGCTCAGTGTGTGATGTCTGTGTACTGTTTATGTAATGCAGGAATAAAGACAGCTGCCGAGAACATCGACATAGCAAAGTTGTCCACCGCAAAACGCACAAAGGCTTGTGCCAGAACCAACGGCAAAAGAAGACCTGTTCTGCTTCAAGTATTAAGTCAGGTATTGGCTTCTTTATGGGATTGATTTATGCAGCACCACCAAATCCTGAAGCACTGTACAGTATAGAGAACCATATTCATTGATCACTAAACCAGATTTCATTAGATAAAAAGGATCATATCTAAAAGACCCAAAAGTGGTAGTGCTGCACAACGAATGCACCTTGCTGATCCTCCTATTTTACTGCAGACTTCCCGGACAGGGCCTGTTTGTTTTAATGCGGCAGATTCTCTTCAAGGTGTAATGACGCAAAAAACACATAGAGGGGAATTTATAAAAACCGGAGCAGACAAAATCTGGAGAAGCTGAGCATGGCAACCAATCAACTTCTCTCTTTCATTTTCAAATCTTAACTGAACAGACTGAAGAGAGAAGCTGGTTGGTTGGCGTAGGATTCTTCTGCTCCAATTTTGATCAATTCCCCTCACAGTGCTTCTGGTTGCCAGAGGTGATGTGATCTAAGCTAGCTTTGCATCACATAATATTGTTCGAGAGCAGAGAGTTAATTTTTTTCTTGGCAAGAAAGAGGTGCTGTTTTCTCAAAATAAATGTGAATTGGTAATGCTGAGATATGCCCCACTGACTAATGTGAAGTTTGAATTTTTAATGACAGGCTCACTACAAATCTACTGTTCACAACAGTAATTTCCCTAAAGTGACACTAAACTCAGGAGTTAAATCTTAAAAATACATTCAAGTACCTTTACTATGAACAAAAATGTCTCTTATTTGTGTATCACTCGGCTGTAGATCCTCAAATCATCTCTGAATTGGTGCTGACACTGTCCTTCCTTCTGGAGGGTGACTACTTTTGTTCCCCATGGTCCCTGTGTGTGTTGTAAAGTAGTCACGGCTCCAAGCTCACCCCTGTGATGGACTACAATCTCATGTATAGTTTACTAATTTGTAATGAATTGTTGTCTATCACGGGAGCGAGCTGGGAGTGGTGACTACTTTACAACACACACAGTGACCATGGGGAACAAAAGTAGTCACCCTCCAGAAGGAAGGACAGTGTCAGCACCAATTCAGAGATGATTTGAGGATCTACAGCCGAGTGATACACAAATAAGATACATTTTTGCATTCCTCTGTGTATAAAGTGTAGCTTGAGCTACAGGATTTTTCAGCAGAACAATTATGATTAGTCTGCTAAACATTTGAGAAGAAGTCTAGACTGCAATCTGGAAGTCTAGACTAGACTGCAATCTGGTAATGTAAATATAAAGTATGAATATGTCAAAATACTATACAATGCCTTCCTCAATCTGTCTGGAAGTTTCAGCTGACCATGAAACAGAAGTTATACTGTACTTATGCTCACATTTGCTCCATTTCAAATTAGTATACTGTATGTAGCTGTGCACACCATTGCAATGACATGTTTGGTTATTGAGAAGAGAATGGGAACTTGCAATGCAGCCAAACTGTAAATCGGTGGACAAATGTAACTGAGTGAAGGGCTATGAGCAGTAGTCATTAAAAGCCTTCCCAAGCACAAATACAACGTTCAGAGGATTCCAGTGCCAGTGTAGTTACATCATCATGCCATACCTATGATGACATCATGAACTTGCAACATTCTATTGGAGGGCTCATGACTTTCCATTTTTCACGTGTCTCTTCATGCAGGGCAATCTGCCCGAGATAAACAGCGCTATTTCTCATTTTGACCCAAAATGGTAGCATTCTGACTGCAGGAATAGCAGCACAAGCCATAAACATATTGCAGTTTTAAGACCCTAGGAGTGTTGGAAAAAAAATGATTTTGCTGTTTCCTGAATTTGTTTTGGAAACCAGAAAATTCCTAGCAGGACAGCAGAGATCGTGTGAGAGATTAACAGCAGGCATTAGTGGGATCAATGGTTTCTATTAGTTGCTTTTAGCAAGCGCCTGAAAACACCATAAAGTATTTGCTCCTCTGGACTGCGGACAAGTTTCCTTGCTGTAAAACAACTTGTTATGGCATGGGAACAAAATTCCCCACAGTGTGCTAAACGACTTCCATTCTATGTAAATCTGCCATTCAAGTCATGAAAATGAATAATTACAGATTTTATAAGAGCCATTACATGCAGATTGGTTGCAGGTAGGACATTGCCACCTGACCTGGCCCACTGCAGCAATGCTGTGTTTTAACCAGAACTGATCTATACACATTGTAGCAGCCATGTGTGTACAAAAATGGCAACTGGAAAGTATCCTACCTGTCACGCTGCTGATTCAGCTGCTGACAATACCTTTCTAAGGTGTGCAGTTATAGGAGGGTTACTGATGCAGAGGATGGGTGTTGCTCACATGTATACTTGTACCTTTACCTGAAGCTGTTCAGATAAACTTTCTAGTCTGTTACAGAGCACAGGATTGATTTATGGACTTGGTCATGTGAACATGGTTTAAGGAATCATCTGACTGCACTGGGGACAGCGAAGAATGGGCAAAGAATCGGGTCAAGAATTGGCTTTTGTGCTCATCGCTATGTAACTACAGAACCGGGTGTCTTTTATGTAATAACATCATTCATGGTTTTCAAAATCTAACCCTTTCCTGCTCCATGTCCATTCATTGAGAGTGTACAATGCTGTGTACAATGCTGTGTGCAATTACATATTTGTAGGCCATGTGTAGAAACTGGAATTCTAACCTCATTTTGACATTCATATATATTCTACTCTGTTTTGTTTTTAGACCTTCTTTAGACTTTCGACTAATTTCAGACTTTTTTTTCCCCACTTAAGTTTTTTCTCTGACAGTTGTAATCCACCTCTTTCCTGATGGAATAGTACCTTTAGCGGAAAGAATAACAGTGTTTTCTGTCTCCAAACTCTCCTCATGCAAACACAAGCCTTTTCCACCAGAGGGAGTTCATACAGTCACTGGTTCTGAAAGTTATTTAAGGTCAAAGGTTATTTCCATACATGTCATACACATGGCAGCTCTTACATGCTACAGAAGGATTTGTTCACATATTCTAAATAGTTTTAAGGGATTGTGCATATTTTTCTCTTGTTTTCCCTCTTAGCAGGTTCCTATGACATAAAATGTTTTTAACCTTTTTTGCCTATGCAATCTTGATGGGGATTAAAACTGTCATATGACTTTATGGCACTTGTGTGTGCTAGTGAGGAAGCACGGTTTGAATTTTTTCTGTTATTCTTTACTGGCTTACATAGTGGGGATGAAGATTTAAATACTAATTCTGTTATGCTTCCACTGTGAATATTCCTCAGATCACTGTGATTAATAAAAGCGGAAGCAATGGCCAATAGTAACCATCATATTCCCTGCTTAATATTTCTAATGGCTTTGGATTTAATGTATGTGACCCTAGGGGCACATACTGCCACATCTTAAATTTAGTGTGTCTGTGCATTGCACTAGTGCTCCTCTGTAGTCATGTCCTCTAAAAACCACATGCAAATACTGACTTCCTAAAAATGTTGTAAAGTAGAATATATAAATCATTAATCTTCTGGCTGTCATGGCTTTTGTCTCCTTCCAAATCCCATTTCTCTTCTCTCTCTCTCTCTCTCTCTCTCTCTGCCTTAACCTGCTCCAAGCTGTATTTGCATTCTCATAGAGTTATATGTAGAAGAGAAGCAGTCCTAAAAGCCCATTTATATAGGCCCCAATCTACAGCTATGGGTTACCACTAATCTAAATTTCTATATTATATAAACACTTGAGTTTGCCCAGGTTGTATAGTTTTCTTATGTTTACAAAAACTTAAATAGATAGTTACCCTTCCCCGTCCACCAGTTTTACTAATGACCACCCTCTATGGCTGGTCAAACTGGCCACCTGTGTTAAACACAGGAGAAGTTGTCTGGGAAGTATAATCAACTTTTATGATTTCCAAATTACTTTCTGTTTAGATATTCCTGGGTTTCGTCATGTTTAGACACATTAATAAGGGCAGGGTCACGACATTTTCCGGGCCAGATCTGGTCCTGAAAATGGTGTGAACTTGCCCGCAGTTCCAGTGCATTCCAGACCAGACAGTATTTTTCTGGTTTGGTCTGGAACGGACTGCGCTGTTGTGAACAGAGGCCAGAAATAGCATAGGGATACATTAGGATGCATTTTGGATCCGGAAACAATCTGGTCTGGAGATGATCTGGATGTGGTGTGAATGGGCCTAGACTGCATGCAACAGACTAGACTGCATGCAACGAGATGCTGCTAAATGTCTGTGTGCTTTTAGAAATTATCTCCAAACGCCTGGACTCATGCATTTTTATTGTCATGTGCATGAGGCCCAAGCATCTTAGGTTGTAAACCTCCAGATTTCAGCTGGAAGTCACCAGATTTAACAAGGCTGATTGAGACTAACGTGCTTATGATGATATCACTGACTTGGGTAGACGTCTTAACTCTAAACAACCATACTACTCTTTCAGTGATGGATTCATAGCAAGTTTCTCAGAAAAATTTGTTGTAGATAAAATATTAGTGTTGACAAAGATCCACATTTTTATGTCGGCCTCCATCTTGAAGGCATTAGAGGCCTCTTCTGCTTTCGTTTAACACAAAGATGTTACCTGCAGCCTCTCTGTAGGGTATCGGCTTGAATCACAGTAACATATCCATGTAACATGATACACGGTTTCCACCTTAATCGACAATTATAGACACCTGTAACATACCACATGATTATTTACAGTCTATGTTATTGCTGAGGTCATTAGGTGCTTTTAAGAGTTCAGGAAGGAAGCTGTTAGAGTTTGGTGCCAGGATTTTAAAAAGAAACACGTGGACAAATCTATACTGAGTTTCCCAGGAAAAATATGCTGATTAAAAATAAAGTTATTCTTCTCAGGGGAATTCATCATGGTTTTGTACATATTGTCTTTATTTATTATGGTCAGGACTAAAAAAAATACCGTTTATTTTTTTCTTTTATTCCTGTGTGCCTAGGGCAGCATGGCATCTAAATCTGACCCTGCAATCTGAAATTTACATCATGCATGAAGAAGCCAGGCCCGTTTAGACTAGCTGGG